TGCTTTTGATTGTCACTTTTCAACCAATATGATTTTAAAAGGAGAAATGCATTATTTACAAATCCTTCTGAAACTGAATACTCTGGGACAATGACTGTTTTATGTGGAGGATGCGAGAGTAAACCACTGTTGTTCCCTTCTTAAACATTACTAAACAAGGCAGAATTAGGCATATAATTAAAAAATAATTTTTTTTAAAAAATAATTTGTTCCCTCCCTCATTGTTTTGAAACATGTAACTCCTCAGTGTATTGCTTTTGTAGTTTACTGCGTTTGATCTTAGAGCGTATGATTTGTAGAAGTTCAGGTTTCACTTTTCACGTACAGCCTCCCCTGATTTCTCCAAATTTTACTCCATGGACATGTTAAATGATTTGACGTTTATTTATTTGTGTGAGAAGCATAAGGCTTGCAGCGTTCGCATTAATGTACAATGAGAAACCAGGAAAGTTGTGAAGACTATTGGTGTGTTTATTTTACTATATATTCAGTTTTATATATTGTCTTCAGTATTTTATTTAAAAGTAACAGGGGCACGCAACGACAATGTTCGGAAAATATCTGTTCGGAAGACGATTTGAGATCTAGAATTTTCGGAACATTTGTTGTAAAATTTCTTGCTTGCCTGCCTCTCCAAGGATTTTCGAACATCTAAAAAATGGTATAATTGGCCATTTTTAACGGATTTTTACACTTAAAAGGTCGCCTAGAATTTTCGGGAGCCTTTTTTGTGCCTGAAATTTTCGGAAAGGTAAGTTTTGATCCCTATATTTTTCGGATCACTAGACTTTCAGCTAGAAAATCCGAACAGATGAAAAATTTTTAGGGGATAAAAATATGCCTATTCTACCGTTTAAATACTAAAATACGTTTAACAATGCTATGTTTAAGTGGTTTTGAACTATATTCTCGTTGGGTGCCCCTGAAGTAACTGAGTTTGTTTAAGCATGTGGTCATGACTGTTTGAAGCTTGGTTTGGAAGTGTGTTTCATATGACTGATTGCAAAATATTTCGTCCTTCCTCAAATAAACATATTTATGTTTTTTTTTTAATTTTTGCCTGTTTATATAACAAGCAAGTTGCAATTGGTGTGATGTCTTATCGACTTTACCGACGTAATAAGATGTAGATGTGAAGCCAATTCACTGGCAAACAAGTAACGAATTTAGCCCTTCTGACCGAGGATATACGGTAATTAGGTTTCTAATCATTAAAGTTTGGAATGAAATTAACCAAAATGTATGATATCATTATAGTTCCTAGCAAGGCATAAAAAGCCCCAATAATAATGTTTGAATATCGTACCAATTGCAATAACCACGCATATTTGTGAGCAGGCTTTTAGAGCGATTTTACTTGGCTCCGTGAAACAGTTAATAACAACTAGTGCAAAATAACTACAAATACAAACAAGAGCACAATAGAATTAAATGCATAATAGTGCGTAGCATTCTACTATCTATTTCACCGGTTCAGTTAAATCACTCTAACTATACCGCTGATTAAATTTCAAATGGCATTATGGCACTCACAAATTAGTTATCAGTAACTTCGTTATCATGCTCTTGTACTTCAGCGAGACTTAACAAGCACGCTAGGAACGAGGTTGATTTATCATAAATCACTGCGCATGCAAAGAGGCCAGGTTCGAATTATTAAAATTCATGCTTGCCACCCGCGACTGATGTACCAGCTCTCCTCACCCTAAAAGTCAATTGGTTCGATACCCTAACTGTGAAACAATAGGAAATATTGATAAACGATGTGTCGTTGTTTTCTGCTACCAATGAGGGAACACCTTACGAGCAGCTCTTACATCACTGAAGCATTAGCCAATGAGATTCAGAGAAATTATTCATTTCTTTTGTTTCAATTCCCCTTAGCCTCAGAGTTAAGTGTGAATTTTGATATTCGAAACTGGCCTATCCCATTACATTTTAGAGGTTTAGGAGACACTAAGCTGCACCGCCGCTATGAAGAGCTTTGGCGAATGTGCGTGTTTTGGATTATCAGTCATTGAATATTGCAAAAAATTGTTGTGTGGTATTGTTTTAAATAAACGAGAAGCGTTTATGTTGTGAAGCAATTTATCTTTGGCCTTCATGTAGCGTTTAGTAAACTGATTCATATTTAAGTTTTGCACACCTACTCCAAACAATATGGGTAAGCAAGATTCTATGTACTTTGATCAAAGTAGTGGTGTCTCAGCTCAGTATATTGGTTAGTTTTGAAAAGATGAAAGAAAAAAATGTTCAAATTGATGTGAAAATTTTAAAAGACTAGTAAATGATGATCAGAAGTGGAAACCTTTTCCATATATAATTATATTACAGCGTGGGTATGGCTTAAATGGCAGACATAATGTAATTTATGTCAAGGCATGATACTCACATGATAACACGTTAGGTCAGGCTGTACCAGGTACTGCAAATCTAGCCAATGAGGTTAAAGGGCTGTGTCAGGGTTAAGTAAGTATATTGAGGTATTTTACCAGTAATTCTTCCTTCTTTCCCTCGTCCTCAACTCGGTCAGATCTCGAGCAAAATCTTCCCCTCCTCCTTTCCTTTCACCTGCCTGCGGGTTATTATTGTTAACGGTATTTCCTATTTCTTCTTTTTTCATTTTCTTATTTAGTTGTGTAGTTTGTGGCGGATTTTTGTCGCCCCATTTTTTATCAGTAGGTTAATCAGTTTACATATATCGATGTGTTGTGATTCTGTTAGCTTTGATTTCATTTAACAGCTGCCACAACCGTGGCCAGATTTATCCAACACAGTTGTTTGTTTAAATTTTAATTCTGTTCCTTATCGGAAAGTACGTAACCGGAAATGCAAGCAAAGCTCGCGCAGAGTTGGGCCTTGTTTTGAACACATGCCTTGATATAAATAAAGGTTTATGAGGAAACAGACGGTCAAAAGTTGCTTTTTGACGAAGAAGTCTTCTCACTCATAAAACACGTGCCGTAAATGTCACAGAACCCGTGCTAAGATGAAAAAAAGCTTTTGGATTCTTGGAGGAGACGGACTAAATCTCAAACCAAACCACAGAAAAGATGAAAATCAATTTTGTCCGGGAGATTTTTTGACCCGTACGGGAGACCAAGAGAACACTTCCCGTATCCGGGGATTCCTGGATAATCCTGGAGAGCTGGAAGAGATTCTTAGAGGCAATGTCAAACCAACGCTCCAAGGATCAATTCGAAATTGTTGAAGCCAACGCGCTTGAATTGTTACCCGGCATCTTTGTACTTGTTAAGGAATAACAATCAACTATGAAACAAGTTGATGAATGACGAAAAATCTTTTAATCTTCATCCTTTAAGAACAGAAAAAACTCGCTTTACCACATCATGCACCTGACTTCACTTTCTACATCCACAGATTAATAGTCTAGAAACAAAATACAGTCGAACCTTGCTATTTCGAACTCGGTTAATTCGAAGTCCCCGCTATTTCGAAGGAAGATCGAATGCCCTTGGATTTACCCTTCCCCTTTACGCTTTCCCGGTTATTTCGAAGCCCCGCTATTTCGAACTTTTTTTCCATTTCCCTTGGGACTTCGAAATAGCGGGGTTCGACTGTAGACACTTGTACAAAAAAAAATTCAATTTCTTAGCATGGGACAACCATATGGCGGAATAAGATGTACTTAATGGACTTATTGGCTGAAGCAAAACTAGTAAAGTGAATTCAGGAGGCTCACTCACAGTTTTCTTACTCCGGTAAACTGTACAATCAACTCTCGCAAAGCGGACACCTCGTTATTTTGGATAACAGGAAAATCTCTCCAGTTGAGCACTTTTTCGCTATCAATTTCAATCCCTTCTTCTCTGCTTTTTACGCTCCCAGACCTTCTTATCTCGCTGACGTTTAAAAAAAATTAGAAATACGTGTATCGCAGAACCTCGCGAAGCTCGGAGAGAGGAAGCCCATAAGGGGTCGGAGGACAGGAGAGAAATGAAGTAAACCTGTACTTAATCTCCCCTGGATTAAATTTGAACCCAGTGCTCTGGCTTTAAAGAGGATCTTCTGAGATTAGACAAACTTGGAGAAGTGAGACATTTTGTCTCACTTGGGGCGGAGCTTTTGGAAGCGGGCAAGCTGTCAATAACTTTTCCGCGCTCATGCAAGATGTCCAGCAGCCATGGAGAGTACAGAGGATAAAGATGTAAACCGAGTATTTTTATTCTATGCACGTTTTCATTGTTGAAAGTTCTTTGGCCTTTCTTTTTCATTTATTTCATTAAACTAATTTGAACTTCATTTCATCTCAAAAACTATTTGTAGGCTAAGCAAAACAACGTCGCAAAAAAATTATTTGATCACGAATCGGAAGGTAAGCTAAAGAAATAAGTTTATATTTATTCTTGGATATGAAAAGCTATCTTTCGTTTCTCTATTTTCGCTTGCTCCTATAAATTTCTCGTTATCATTTCACTTCGAAATATATGTTATGTAATTTAATTTTTGGATTTGGAAGCTTATCAAACTAATCGGACAGGCTGTTGAGTTTGGTCTCTAAATTTGGTAGAATGTCAGCAAACTACTGTTTCAAATCTTTTTATCAATAAAGAAATATCAATTTAATGGTTTATTTGAAAATGACCTAAAAGAGAAATTACTTGCAAGTTATACAGTAGTATTCTTTCCGATTCAAAGTAATATTTTCGTTCTTTAGTAACAGAAACCAGGTTAGTTATTTTTGTAATTTTGTCAATAGTGCCGATCTTTAAGCGAAGGATATTCACGCGCAAAGTTATTTATAGATTATTTCAGTTGAACGTGTGAACTATTCGAAAACGCAAAAATGCTCACGCATGCGCACTCCGAGATTGTCTAGGCGTCTCCCGGCCGTTCGTCTCGGATACGTCACCGAAATGCATTGACCGAGAGGGCCTGGAAAGACACCGTATAGGGACTAGGCAAGTCTTTTAGATAAGACATGCTCGTATAAATGGTACAGTTCGCGTCTTATTTACATCTTATTTTTCCTCGTATAAATGGCCCTATTGTTGTCTTCGATTTGCAGAGTTTGCCAACGAAGTGAGCATCTCATCGAAGCGACGAATTTACCTTTGAACGATGAAGATGACTTTCTTGGGGAATTGAGAAATGGACAAGGAGTCGGAAGTACGGACGAGACCGTGATCGAGAATCCAAACTTAGAGAGCACATCTGCTGGCACCGCGAGAATCGGCCGAAAAAGAGAACAAAAGTTAACGGAGAAAGGTAAATCCTATAAACTTGCTCGAGATGTCCGTGAGCGAAGGAAACTCAAGAGAGAAACAAAGGCGCAAATTGCTAATATTCAAACACTCATGGGACTGAATAGAAACCTGGAAAAATTCAGTCAGCAATGCATTAAATTAAATGAACGATTCAAATTGTTTGGGGATCTTCATGAAGAGATCCAGGACTTGAATCAGTTGGCACTTTGAATCCTCATGCACCAGAATTTGTCCATTCTTCCCCATCACCTTTACAATCACAGGCTAATACTGATTTGAGCTCAGCTACCCAACTCGCAGACAAACATAAAGATTGTACTGCTGTACAAAATACTTTGTCGAGAATCATCACCAGTTGAACAAACCTCTTCTAATAAAGAGACTGGATGTGAACCCCAAGCAACCTTCTGGGAAAAGATGGAACTGAGACTGTCACAGCCACCACCAGAGCCTTCCTCTTTTGATGGCGACCCAGCCAAGTACCTACGGTTTAGAGAAAATTTCCGGGACCAAGTTGAATGTAAAAAATCACTGTCTGACAGCGAGAGATTGAACTATTTGACGTCCTACACTACAGGTAGAGCGAGGGTAGTAATTGAGAACTACAATGGTTACCCAATGGATGTCAGTTGGCCCTCAAGGTGTTAGGGCACAGATTTGGACAAAGCGCCATGATAGTTCAAGCCTTGAAATCGTCTGTTACCGATCGGCCAAAGAAAAGACCTGAAGATAACGCTGCACTCCGAGCCTTGTCTGACAAGATTGAGAACTGTTGCTGGGCAATGTCTGAGTTGCGGTCATGTGAACTTGATTGTACCATTAACTTGAAACACATCTATGATCGTTTGCCAGGTCATCTTCAAGGATAGTGGAGAAAGACTGCAATGTTGTATCGCGAGAGGTCGGGTGGAAGAGAACTGGACTTAAAGGAGCTATCCAAGTTTATTACTGCACAGTCGCAAATTGAAAACGACCCGGTGTATGGCAGAAAGAGTGAATCACAAACAAAGTTCAGTGTTGGCAGGAACCCCAATAAAAAGCGCTAGAAGAAAGGGCTGGTCCGACGATCCCCACTCTAGCAACAGAGGTAGGGACACAAGAAAACGGAGTTAATCAGAGAACAAAGAAACCCGCAGCTGCCAGTGGGCGTAGGTTGGCGGAGACGATTTGCAAGGTTTAAAGCTCTTTGCTACCGATGTCTGTCACACTCATTTGCAAAAGAACTGCCCAGAAAAGACCAGTTGTACTGGGAAAGACTGTGCTCGTCCACAAGGTCACCACTCGCTGTTGCATATTTCGACAAAAAGCGAGATTGAAGATGTTAAAGGCAATCCTGAGCAGGGTTCCCCGGTAGTGTCCAATTTGTCAGTAAACAATGCAACGCCAGAGAGTAACAGGAGGAGCTTTGTATTGCCCAAAGTCGTTCCACTTAGAGTGACTGCTGAAAATGGGAGAACACTTACTACGTATGGTATTTTAGACTCATCTGCTGTTAGCTCAATGATCACTTCTAACATTACAGACAAACTAAAACTTCAAGGAGTTCCAGAGAAAGTTAGCATAAACACTGTCACTCAAGGAGACCAAAATCTTGAATTATGCAAGGTCAAATTCCAGATCAGCTCAGCGAGCCAAGGAAGTCCGTCCTTTCCAGTGTATCACATCACGCCTTGACAGTGAAAAGTTTGAATGTGTCGGACAGCTACATACTGCCCAAGTAAATTGGATTTTGTCTCCTTGGCCACACCTCAGTGGTCTTCAATTGCCAAATACTGCTGTAGATGTGAATGAAGTCTCTGTGTTAATTGGCCAAGACGTACCTCAAGTTCATATAGTTCGTGACTATTGCTGGGAGACAGTCCACAGAGTCAGCCATACGGAATGAAGACCCCCTTTGGATGGTGCGTAGCAGGGCCAACCAACAGAAAGGAGGACGAAAACAAGCCTGTTGCGCTATCAGTCTTTGAGTTTGATTGGACTGAAGACAAGCGAGACATGAGACTGCACGAACAAGTTGAAGGGTTCTGGGCTTTAGAATCACATGGATTCAGGAGTGATGGTACTTCGAACAGTCTCGAAGACGAAAGAGCCCTTGAAATCCTAAAGAGAACAACTAAGCTGAAGGATGGAAGGTATGAAGTTGGTCTTTTGTGGAGAAACGATAACCCTGCGCTGCCTAACAACCGCGTGCAAGCTGAGAAGCGGCTGCAGCAACTTAAACGGCGTTTCCAACGTAGTCCTGAGTTTGCCGCCCAGTACAAGACAGTCATGAATGACTATATAGACAAGGGTTATGCAGTGAAATTGTCGGAACAAGAAGCGGCTCTTACCAGCAGCCACACATGGTACCTTCCCCACCATGGAGTGATCAACCCAAACAAGTGTAAAGTAAGGGTGGTGTATGATGCAGCTGAGAGATTTGAAGGGACCGCACTTAATAAGGAACTGCTACAAGGCTCGCTGCTTAACAACTCATTAGTAGGAGTATTGATGCGGTTTAGAAACGATGAATTAGCAGCAGCTTTTGATATAGAAAGTATGTTTCATAGAGTGGCTTGCAGAGAGGAAGACACGGACACACTCCGATTCTTGTGGTGGGACGGTAGTTTAGACGAACCACCTAGTGACTATAAGATGACAGTATATTTGTTCGGGAAGGCAGATTCGCCATGCATTGCTGCTTGGGCATTACAGCAGACTGCTGAAGACAACGAGGCTGCCTTTGGAGAAAAAATTCGTGAAATTGTCAAGAAAAATTTCTATGTAGACAATGGTTTGTTCTCGAAGCCGTCGACAGAACTGGCAGTGCATTCATCGTTGGAACTGATGAGAATGTTACGCAAAGGGAATTTTTGCCTGATTAAATTCATTTCAAATGACAAAGATGTATTGGCTGCTATCCCAGACGAGGAAAGGACAATCAAGAATCTTGAACTCGATAAACTTCCTATAGAGAGAGCCCTCGGACAACAATGGAACATTGATACCGATACGTTTGGTGTCAAGACATCGCCGCCATCAGCTCGACCCGGGAATGACACATGGCGAGGGTGTTTGTCTACATTGAGCTCGATCTTTGATACTCTTGGTATGATTGGACCAGTCCTGTTGCCAGCAAAAAGGGTCTTACAGAAGACTTGGCAGCTAAAGCTCCTTTGGGATGAGAAGTTACCTGAAGACTTGTTGAAGGACTGGAATAAGTGGAAGGAGAACTTGTCACTGCTCAATCATGTGACTATTCCGCGTTGTTATTTTCCTGGTGGCTGTTCCCTCGATGCGACGTTCCAACTGCATCACTTCAGTGATGCGTCAGAGGTTGGATATGGAACTGTCTCGTACTTGAGAAGAGAAACTGTAGACGGAAGAGTTGATTGCTCATTTATCATGGCCAAGAGTCGTACCGCCCCTCTACAGTTCGTGTCTGTGCCAAGACTTGAATTACAAGCTGCCACAATCGCTGTAAGAATACATCGTCTGATCCTAAAGGAGATTGACCTGGTGATGTCTGCTTCGTTCTTTTGGACCGATTCAAAGATAACGCTGCAGTACATCGACAATGAGACACGCAGATTTAAGACGTATGTTGCTAACAGAGTGGCAGAAATTAGAGATACTTCTCAGCCCTGTCAGTGGAGACATTGCCCAGGGAACCTCAAACCAGCTGACGAAGCGTCCCGTGGCTTTTCGGCACAACGATTCCTAACGAGCGAAAGATGGTTCAAGGGTCCTGACTTTCTGATGAAGCTGGAAGAAGACTGGCCATTTTTTGAAACTGAGGCTCTTCCCGAAGACGACCAAAAACTGAAGGGTGAAAAAGCTATATTCACTCTGACTCTACCAGAGAAATTGCATGAGTTGCTTGTGAAGTATTCCTCTTGGACAGTGCTCCCACGAAAGTTAGCCTGGCTGCTGAAATTCAAGGCGTACCTTCAGTATGGTAAAGACAAGAAAGCAGATATTGAGAAGCACCTGACTACGGCAGATCTGGAGAAAGCAACATTGACTATAGTTAAACTAGTACAAAGAGAAGTATATGCAGACGAAATACAGGATTTGGAGACGAGAGGCCATGTCAAACGTTCTAACAAGATTGTAAAGCTGCGACCCATATTGGATGACTGTGTCATGAGAGTTGGAGGTCGCATTGCAGATGCCCCTATTGCGTTTGATGCCAAATTCCCTATGATTGTTCCACCAAAGCACCATGTGGCCCACCTACTGATTGCAAGCTTTCATCAGAAATTATTACATGCTGGACAAAATCAAATCCTTGCTCACTGGAGGGAGAAGTTTTGGATACCTAATGGGAGGTCTGCCGTACGTCAGGTTGTGAGATCGTGCATGACATGCAAGAAACAGAGAGCGGCAACCATGGAACAGATGATGTCGGCCTTACCTGCATTTAGCACCACAGCCTATGAGTCGTGCTTCACCTATACAGGAGTGGACTACTTTGACCCCCTGAATGTTAAGAAGGGAAGATCAGTTGTTAAGAGGTGGGGAGCAATATTTACGTGCATGAATTCTAGACCAATACATTTGGAGGTGGCCTCTTCCCTTGAGGCTGACTGCTTTATTAACGTCTTCAGAAGATTTGTAAATAGAAGAAGGCCACCCAAATTTATGTACTCTGACAACGGGTCCAATTTTGTGGGTGCCGAGAGGGAGATCAGACAAGCAATTGAAAATTGGAACCAATGCCAAATCAGAGATGAACTCCTGCAGAGGGGTGCCAGTGGGTGTTTCAGCCATCTAAGGCTTCTCATGCCAGTGGGGTATGGGAAAGGCTGATACGTAGCACTCGAATCGCCCTGAAAGTTATTCTTGGAGAAAGTCTACTGGCGACTGTCCTGACAGAAGTAGAGGCAACCCTTAATTCCAGACCTCTTTGTGCCGTTTCAGACGACCCCAACGGCTTTCAACCACTAACACCAAACCACCTGTTGTTGCAGAGAACAGTAGGCGCCTTGCCGCCTGAAACCTTTGTGAAAGAAGATATGCTGTTGAGAAAGAAATGGAGACAGACGCAGATATTGGCTGACCATTTTTGGAGACGATGGATGAAGGAGTATGTTTCAGCCCTACAGGAGAGACAAAAATAGCACAGACCTCGACGAAACGCCCAAGTTGGAGACCTAGTACTTGTAGTGAATCAAGACCTTCCCAGGGGAAAGTGGCATTTGGGCCGTATTGTCAGGGTGATTCACGGAAAAGATGGGCTTGTGCGAACAGTTGAAGGGAAGACCGGATCTTCCTCGTCGTTGTTGGGACCCATACAGAAACTCTGTCTGTTAGAGGAATCAGAGAACCTCTACCGTGATTAATACTGTTTAGGAGAAAGAATCGGACATTGACATTG